ATGGCAGCCCAGGGGCGGCACAGCCGGGGGCTCCGGTGCAGGGCAGCTCACCAGCACTGGCTGCCTCCCCAGAGAGCTCGACGAGGAAAAGTCCTAGCAGTGCCTCCTGCTCGGAGCCGGGGCTACGTGGACCCCTGTGTGACCACCCCCCGAGCCCAGCCCTGGAGACTGCGCCCAGAGCGCCTGGCTGCCCGGCGCGGGAGGAGGCAAGTGGGGAGAGAGCGGGTGCTGAGCCGAGCTCTCCGGCTGGCTCCCCGGACGTTGTGAGGCCCAAGGTGCCAGGACAGCTGAGAAAGAGCCGCAAGCAACGTGGAGCCGGTGCCACTGAGGCAGCCCAGGGGGACAGGGAGCCCGCGGGGGCTGCGGCACAGGGGACTGTGGTACCCACGAAGGCACCTTTAAGCTCACCACTGTTGTCACGAAAGAGCAAAGGGAAGGAGAAGGCAGCCAAGCCAGCTCCTGTGAAGGTGGGGAGCGAGGAGGCAGGGGAGAGCAAGCGGCTGGTGCCCAGCCCTGGCACGGATGAGGGCGATCCAGCCATGAGCGCTCCCCTGAAGCAGAAGGTGAAGGAGCTGGGGGCACAGCCCTTGGGGAAGGCAAAGGCCACCAAGCATTCAAAGCCAGGGCAAGCTGGTGGCTCGGGCGTACGTGACAATGTGCCGGTGATCCCTGCCAGCGGAGCTGCAGCTCCTCCGGGAGAGGCGTGCCAGGAGGTGCTGGGGAAGCCTCTCCATCCCAAGAGCGTGGCGGCTTCTGGGGGGGATGCTGCTGAGGGAGCTCATGGGGAGCCTGCAGCTGAGACCCCCGGGGATCTGGGCCCCCCTTGCTTTGCAGCTGGGGCCTCTGCAAGGGCAGACACCCTGGACGTGACTTGGCCTGAGATGTACGACTATTTGTTCTGTGACTCCCAAGGGGAAGAAGAAGGAATGGAGAACTCAGTGGAGGTGGAGAAAACACCCTTGGAAAGGGAAATATCCTTGCCTGAACTGTATGAATATTTTTTCAATGAACCAGAAGGAAACAGGAAAAAAGTCAAGGGTAAAGACAGGAAGCGAAAGAAGTTCAGCAGCTTGGACCGCGCTCAGCTGCAAAATGAGGATCCCGACTCGGCTCCAGTCAAAGACTCCCTGGTTATCTCAGTCCCTGAGGTGTATGAACACTTCTTTCCAGATAGGCCTGGGAACAGGGCGGGCTGGAGAGGGATTTTCTCAATCACTCCGGCCTCCGAGGTGAAGAAAGCTGTGGGGGCTTTGAAGTCCCTCCTGCAAAGGCCAATGCGTCTCGTCAGAGGCCAAGCCCCAGTCCCCCAGGCTCTCGTGCGGAGAGGATCTGAAGAGAAGCTCCCCCTCGTCCCGCTGGCTCCGCTGGGAAGAGGCCAGGCGCAGCCGGAAGGTTTGGACATGGCCCTTGTGCTGACAGGTAAAGCACTATTACCCCCTGCCCGCTGCCCGAGGGCCCCGGCTCGCTGCTGCACGTAGGGATGTGCCTCTGCCTTGTCTGGTGTCCCTTGTTCCCACCGCCCTTGGGAAGCCTGGCAGCCAGCTCTGGCCCTGCTGCAGCCATCTCCACTCCAGCTGCAGCGACATTAAGGCCACCATACAGATGGGGAGCATTTTGGGTGGGTTCCTCCAGGTATAGCTGATCTGAAATCTCATTCCTGGCACGTTGCCTTGCCATGTTGCAACCCTGGGCTTTAGCAGGGATCTTTGGAAGTGTGGCTAAAGCCACCACCATGACATGCTGTGTTGCATTGGCTCTCTGTTGTGATGCTCACGCTGTCCCTATGCCAAGCGAGTGCTGCTGGACGTGCCCCGCAGGCTGGGTCCCAGGGCTGCAGGAGGCATGGACAGGGAATCCGGGTATATTCTGTGTATAACTTGGGGCAGAGGTGGTCATGACAGCATGCATGCAACAGGCTGAAACTCAGTCTGGCCCAAAATCCCTGCCCCAGCTGATTCAGTTGTCTCCCTGATGGATGTAACTTACTGTGGATTTGATCTATTGTTTTGCACTCTGGCCAAGAAAAACTTACTGAAGCAGGTAGCTGCATTAAACATGGCTGGAGTTATTGCAAGGTCTGGTAGAGACAGGAATCCCCCGTGCCAGTGCCATCCAACTGCCTGCAGAACCACAGACCTGTATTTCTGATGAGGGAATGGGAGGCAAAGCAGCAAAATCCTTCTGCAGCAAAGACCTCATGCCCCTGAGATAAGGCAATGGCTGCTGAGCTGCTGTGCTGTTAAGGCTGGGCTGCTAATCGGTCTAATATCGGTGGGGGGAAAAGGTGTGCGCACAGTGGAACGTGTCCAAGGCTTCCAGCTGGAAGAGGTGAGGGGGACTTTAAAACACACACTAATTTGAAAAACACCCTCCAGAGACCTCAGATGTTACCTGAATATTGGCTGTTACTGGAAGCAGGTAAGTGAAACAAGAATAAAGGGAGAGCAAGTCTGACCCACTAGGACAGCCAGCATATTTATCTTAAAGCTTTTATGATGCTTACAGCCATACCGCCTCATAGTTAATATTAAAACCAAACAATGAATGAGTCATCTGAAAGGGTGCCTCAAAATACTGCTTCCAGTCTGTTTGCACAGAAAAAAAACCCCTTTGCCATGGTCATAGCTAATTAATAAGCCAGCTTTAATTTAAAACCTGATCAAATAAACACAGGAGCAAAAATAACCTGCTCTTGCAACACATCTTCAAGTTGTGCCAGACGAACTCCAGCAAAGAAATGCAGAGCACTCAGGGCTGTAGTGCTTCTCGGGGGAATATGTGTTGTCCTAGAGCCGCGTGCGTCTCGGGGCATCGTGTTGTGGGACGGGGACCCTGCCCAGAGGGACCTGCCTGCAGCCCCAGCGCATCAGCAGCCAGCCCAGGAATTGCCCTCTGCTAAATCTACTCCCTGCTTCCAACCACCGCGAAGGGGTGCGCTGGGATGAAATGCAGGGAGGTGGTGAGGCAATCAGGGGTCCTGGAGGTGGCATGTCCACTGGCTGTGCCTCCATTAATGGGTGGCATTAACAAATATTTGCCTTGGGCTCTTAACAAAGTTTAAAACTGAGAAGGGTGAAAAATGTGCCTCCCCCTCTGCTTAGGAAACATACCTGAGTCCTAATTAGACATGTTCGACTTGACCAATGGTGAAAAAAGCTCTTCTGGGAGGGAACTGTGTGACAAAGATGTAGTTCTCTGGGAGTGCAAGGGACTCGCTGCCCCAGAGGGACTGGAGCCTGCTGTGGCAGAGGAGGCATGGTAAAACCCCAAGCCTCGTGCTCTTCTCGCAGGGAGGCCCGAGGCTCCGCTGGCGCTGACCCACAAAGACATGTGCCTCGTCTTCTGTGCCTTTGCGTCCTGGGCAGTGAAGACCTCCGACCTGCAGGCTCCAGATGCCTGGAAGACCGGTACGTACGGTGCCCAGCCTGGCGGGAGAGGGGTGGGAAGGACCTCGTGGAAGAGAAAGGCAGGGATGCTATCCCACCTAACACTGCCTGTGGGAAAATGCAGTCATTTTCCTGCTTTTCCAAAGCGCCCTATTACTTTCTAATACCTTCTCTCTCCTACAGAAATGCATTCCTATTCACTTAAGTTGTCCTTTCCCCACTCAAAATGACTGCTGAGTTGAACTGAGCCATAGGATGAGTCTGTATTCCTGGCTTTGCTTTCCCTGCTCCATCCAGCCTCTGACAGGGACCAGCACCAGTGTGTCAGGAGAAGAGAGGCTTCTTTAAGATCTGTGCTGGCTAGAAGCTGAGTCAGGACCTCGCGTATGCAGGTTTATACTCCTTCATCTCAGCTGGAACAAATGCACATATTTTTCTAACGTGCTGTAAAGGTATAATCTTTGTTCTAAATACAGCTGAGCTGAAGTATTATCCTGGTGCAGAGTCCTGCAAGTAAACGGAGCTCCGCCAGTTCCTCTCCTTTCCAACCACAGCATTTGAATAACTGGTGGGCAGAGAGGAAGCTCGGCCAGCACGAATTAGCCGAGCCATGGCCCGAGGGGTGCGGGTCGCTGGATGAGCAGGGCACGGTCCAGCAAGTGCAGCAGCCCTGTCCTGGCTGCAGCAGCCGAGCGCGAGGTTCAGTCCCTGGGCACCAGAGAGCCCCCGCCACGGGGTGAGACGCCGGGACCAGGGCTTCCTGCTGCTCGTCCGGGGGAGGAATGTTCCCCACTAAGGTCACACAGGAAGCTGACACCCCGGGCTGAGAATAGCTCGTTAGCTAAAGTTGCTCAGTGCAATCATCACAAGGAGCTTTTGGCCTGCTCCTCCTTGCCTTCTTAGTATTAGATGGTAAACTTGGCTTCAGAGAGGGTGCGAAAAGCGGGATATGGGCCTCGTGCCCCCAGGATTGCATAACCCAGCATGCAGTAAGCACCCCGGCAAGGAGGGGAGGCAAGAGACAGTTGGACATCCCGGACTAGCAACTCTCTTTTGGAATTTTAGGTTCTAACAAGTTGAATTTCTCTGTCTATGTCCCAGGCTCTAACACGTAAATCAAAATCAAGTCTGAATTTAAACTGGGAAGTCCAAAGGCCTGGCTTAGGTTCCCAGTTTTGCTTGGGCACAGATCAGGGGAATTTGACCTCTCTTATAAGCCAAGCTAAAAACATTAGCTGAAAATACAGAGAAGAGCTGGATTCTGTGTATAATCTCCATTAGTTATTTTTTCTATCTCTACATTTTCTGATTCTGGGTTTTGGTTATTTTCTGCTTTTGGCTGGGATCAGAGTATCCACAGATAACCCATAAAATGGTAAAATTTTTTTGCCTCTTCCTGGTCCAAACAGAAGTAGAAAATGAAGGGACTGTCCTGAAGCCCTGGTGAGATTTCCTACTGTGGCCTTCTCACCTGAGATTAGACCCATTAGATCTCCACATCAACCTGTGTATCTAACCACCACCCATCTCTACCACACACATGAAGTCTACGTTGTGTTTCCCTTGAAAACAGCTGTTTCTTGTGAAATGGTAGTGCGATCCGTGTGCCCAAACTATAGGATTAGATGTGGTCGGCCAGGCTGTGGGCAGCTCAGGACTGAACACACCGGGAACAAGGACAGTGTGGTGGGGATGGAAAGCAAAGGCAGGAGGGGACTGAAAAAGGGAGGGGAGTGACCTCCCTTGGTCCTATGGACCAGAGTAAGCCAAGTAGTTTGTGATCTTCAAGTCTGGAAAAAGATCTTAAGGTTTGGAAGAAGCACCTAGACTAACTGTGGAAATGTATTGGGCTTTTTTCCAGTGTTCCTGGCAAGTTTTGGCACACTTTCGGCCATCCGCTACTTCAGAAGGCAGGTCAGAGAAGGACACCCCCGGTCCTAGGCTCAGCGCTTCCCGAGGACGGGCGAGGACGGCGGAGGCAGAGGCCAGGGACTTTGTTCTTGGGCAGTGTGAGAAGCCTGGATCCCAGCACCGAGACTTCTCTGGACCCATCCCTAAACGGGACAGGATGTCACAGGAAGCAGGATCCTTCCGGTGACAGTCATTTACAATACGGTAGGCAGTTTGTACCTGCACTGGACAGAAGAGGAGCCCAGCATGGGCTGGCTCTGTTCTTTCTTTGCACACTTCTTGCATACTTGTGCTATCTCCTAGGAGTAGTCACAGTGTCTGTTCCAGGGCGCTGCTTGTCCGTCCTCCCTGCTGAAGGCACCTGGTGGCAATGGAAGGCACTGAGGTGGTGGAGGGAGGAGAGAGCAAAAGAAACCAGGAAAGTTCTTCATTTCTATGAAAGAGCTGGGTTACCAGTGAAGAAGGAGAGGAGAGAGCTTTGGGAAGAGCTGTCTGTCCAAACATGGTGCTTTGCTAAGCATGTGCTGGCTGTGCACGGCTAGCTGGGCAGCAGCTAAAGGGGGATGGAGGGGCCGCTCGCTTGGCAAGGCCCAGGTCACCCATGACCGGTTTGGCTCACTGCAGGAGGACTCATCCTCTTGGCTGTCACTCCAAGAAGTGTCACAACTGGGTCTAACGGTTCTGGAGGCTGAGGTAGGGCTTCTGTTCACTGTGGCAGCCTCAGCACTGCTGAGCCAGAGCCGCGGATGCGGTGTCTGTCCCTGCGGGTGAGGAGCACCCACTGCAAGGACACATCTCACTCCCGTAAGCAGAGGATGGGCAGGTGTCACACAGCCAGAGCCAGGGGAAGGGGTGGCCGGGAAGGGCTCTGCAGGAGGATGCACGGGATGGAAAGGAGCTGCAGGGGCAGCAGGGAAAGGGGCTGAGCTCAGGGAAGCCTCAGGAAAGAGCCCTGACAAGGACAGGAGCATGTCAGAGAGGCAAAACGGCACGTGTACACATTTGGTTCTGACAATCGCCAGATGAAGGGTCTGGATATGTGACTTGGTCCCTCCGCTGCCTCCCATCCTAGAGACATAAAGTTGGCTGGGAGGAGATGTCGGGTGAGGAGGTGCCATGGCTGAGTGTGTAACCTTGCGGGGCTGGAGAGGGCTGGACGGGACCCGGAATGGGAGGTGGGTGAAAAATGAAAAGGAAGCAGTTTGTTTTCTTCCCTGTCTCTAGTGCCTTCCTGATCACTTGAGGGCATTATTCGTGAGGGTTTTTCTTCACTCCCAAGTTTGATAACAGCATGAATGTGAGATTTGTTAAGCACTTAGGGACCAGATCCACAAAGGTACTGGGGGAAATCTGCCCAGAATACCTGTGCGGATCTGCCTACGAGCTTTATAGGAACACTGTGGCAATATTTGTCTTACGAAACCAGAGAGGAGAGGTTTAGCTCTTTCCTTGTAATGCAGAGTGCCATGCAATTTTAATGTGTGTAGGGTTGTATTGAAGACCATATATTATTGCTGATATGAGAGCACACTGTACAATTGTACAGTGAGATATGTAGCAGTAAATAGTGAGAGAGAGAAAGAGAGAGAGACACAGGCTCTGTATGAGCTATAGTAGTGGTATATCCAGAAAGAGGAGTTTTGTGGAGGAGAACAGATAAAATATGCTGGAAGCTTTAAATAAAGATCTATCTCATTTAATACTTTTGTCTACATTCCTGTGTCTACATTGTTTGCGTGTGAAACTGTTGAATGAGTACTGAGTTTTAAAGAATGAGAAATCAATCCATTATGTGTCTCTTGATAGAAAAATCTAGGCATTGATGTGGTGGTTGAGGAGCCCTGGAGGACAGAGTGTGCAGGGAGATGGGCTGCTTCTCCTCTTCTTCACCTCAGTCCCCGTGCCTGCCACTCTGAGACACATCTTGGCTGTCACACGTCGCTAACAGCCGGATCCAGAGAGCCCTGCTCTCTCTCCTCTCTCAAAAGCACTCAGGACTCGAGCAGAGTCCCGCTCTTGCCAGCGCTCCAGCCAGCTCCTCCTGGGAACAGATCAGTGAGCACGAGTCAACGCGCAGCAGCAGCATCCACGTTCGGTCCATCGATCCTCATCGCCTCTGCGCTCCCCGGTCCCCCTCGATGCAGGGGGGGACGCCTGGCACTGCAGCCTCAGGCCCTGAAAGATTTGCCCAGCAGACCTCGCTCCCTCCAATGAGCAGGAGCATGGCAGGCGCGGGGGGAGGCTGAAGTGTTCGCATATGCTCAGTTTTACTGTTTATCCAGCCATAAGCCATTAAGCGCTCTCCGCGTTCTCAGTGGCAGGTGGAAATAACAGCAGCCTTGGCGTGGCGGGTGGGTAATGGGGGAACAGCTGGAGGAACCAGGCAATTTCATTATCCCGAGCTTTCCTGGGAGACGGTAACACGGAGCAGAGCAAAGCAGAAAAGGGTCAGAGGAGGGCAGCAGACGGGTTTGCTGAGGAGAAGGGGTCTCTGGGACTGCCAGCTCCTGTCTCGGGGGGGTCTGGCTCTTCCTGCATAGTTCCTCACGCAGAGTGAAGTCCCCAGGGTAAGGAACATGGCTAAATCCTGAACGGTCACTGCTGACTTCTTGCTTGGTTTGAATTTTTCAGATTTTGTGTTTTCTAGCCTTGTCACACAAATCTGGAGGAAATAATCACCATTGCAGGTGCAGGAACAGTTAATTTCCCTCCCTGCCACGTACGGTACTCCCAGGTGCAGTGCTGGCAGTTAATAAATGATTGTGCTAAAAATCACTGACTTTAATACTGGGCAAAATGGTTGGGAGAGCTATTCTGGTTCATCTCAGTGTCTGAGGGATTGCAAAGTTGGCCTGAAGGTCTCACTGGAACTGCGAGAGTTTCTGGCCAGAAACCGTAATGTTGAAGACACTTCTGATGACATTAACCCCTCCGGGGAGGTCTGGATGGGGCAGGGCTCCATGCTGGGACATGGGGAGTCTGTGTGTACCCACGTCAGCTGGATCTTTTCCAAGCAATGCCCTTGCTTTGGGGACCTCATCTTCCCTGGAGAAGCAGTTCTGTTCTCAGCCGCTCCCCACAAGCCAAAGCTGCAGATGTTTGCTGCAATGGGGGTGCTGCCAGTTCAGCTCGCTGCTTGGGCGCCTTGGGAGGAATGAGGAAGCTCAGTCAGTTGAGGCTGGGCTGGAGAACTTCACAGTGAATGTATAGCTGCTAAATTGCTGCTGGGAAGAGACTTGTGCTTGGAGGCTCTCTGCCTGGTTTTTGCAGGAGGCCGACTGGTTCTGCTGCTTGTGGAGAGACTGTCCCATTGGCTTTCCTGAACTGCACGGGGCAGGCATGGCACTGACAGGAGGCTGCAGGAAAGCTCCTGGGCAGACAACTAGTTTAGGAGTGTTTGAGGTGCAAGTAGTAATACCAGATTCGATCTGGAAAGGAATCAGACCTAGCTGTTGTAAGAAGCAGTAATGGCAGGTAACGCTCCGCAGTCCCAGTGCCCCGGTCCATCGGTGAGCCGTGCACAGCCGAAACACTGCCCTGGGGTGGGACAAGTAGCCTCCTGGCTGCCCCTGACCCACTCGAGCTGGGAAAGGCACGGTGGCACTGAGCATCTGTTGTCCCACTCCGAGGGACACATCTCACTCTCTCAATGCCTCTATCCCAGCGTTCAAAAACTCGTGCTAAGTGTCTTCCCAGGAGAGTTCGGTACTCGTGTTGTGCTGTAGGTAACACGAGGTGCCTGTCACCTCTACCAGCCAGTGCCCTTTGCCTAGCTGCGATAATTGGTATCTGATCCTTTAGAGCTTGGGTTTGGAGACCTAAATGTGATTTGGCACCTCCCCCTGCTAAAAGTTACCGAAGGTGCCAGGTGATCCATCAGGTTATAGGTGCAGTTCATGTTCCTTTTGCTCCCTGCTGGAAGAAGTGGCTGAGATAAATATTTCAGAAGATAAATGTTTTCAGTCCACTGCAGAAGCGAAAGGAAATATCAAAAGATCTCGTTGGTATCAGGAGATCAGCTCTGGGAGCGTCTACTGTGCTCAGTCAAGCAGCAGTGTCTCTAGTGTCCTTCAAAGAAGCCAGCCTGGACTTGCCTGCAATTTTAATGCTTGGTTTATTCCCCGACCTTTTAAGCTCTCTCCTCTCCCTCCATGGCGAGGTCATCTTGCCTGTTTCTCACCCCAGAAGGAGGAGCCGGGAACTCTCCATCTTTTGCAAGAGCAGCAGCCACCGCAATAGAAACGACCTTTTCAGTGCATCCTCGCTGCCGTGAGAACTGTCTGCGCTTCACCAAAGCGAGTGCCAGTGCTGGAGGTGGGAGCCGTGCCATCCCACCCCGCTTCCTCGCCTTGCACGTAGCTCCCACATCTGACACCTTGTCTTGCCAAGCAGATGAAAAAGTCAGGCAGGTGCACCCTCAAGAACTGCCTCCGTATTTCATCTGGCCTTGATACGCCATGTGCCGGACTCCCGGTCTGGGAGAGGGCTGTCCTTCTCCCCCCTCTTCCGCAGCAACCAGTTTTCCCAGAGCAGCTCCTTTGCTTTTATTTTTGCTTCATCTCCCTGTAGTAAAACCAGAGCAAAGCTTGCTGTGGACATTTCTGTTAGGCCATTTCTGAGTCATGACTGTCTTCTCGCCACGCTTCAGAGAGATTTCTGCGGGCTCGTGGTGCTGTGCCAGACCCGGGAGTGCCAGCGCAGGGAGGTGGCGGGCAGAGCAGGGGCAGCGGTGACCTGCCTTTTATCTAGGACTGACAGAAATGCCAGTTGCTTCGGTCGGCCGTGAGAGCGTGACATATTTTGGTGGATTCCCCCACCCACAGGGCAGTGAGGGAGTTGCTCATCGCAGACTAGAGCAAACCCTGCACATCTTCAGCTCCTCAGGGGACTAAGGGCTCTGCCAGGGAGGCGCTGGGTTTTCTGAGCACGAACAGGGCGCAGGTTTGCACAGCGGGTCCTTCCCCAACCTCCGCTGATGGGAAGAGACGCGGAATTCCCAAACCTCGAGTGTCTTTGTAAATACAATAAGA